AGATGGAGCATCGTGTCACACTGCTAGAAACACCCAAAAGTGGCAGGAAGAAAATGGTATCCAGAAGTTGCCCTGGCCGAGCCAATCTCCTGATACGAACCCCCATCGAAAACCTTTGTGCCACACTCGACCAGCAAGTCAAGAAACAACAACAAAAAGAACAACTTCTAAGAGCGATCTACTCCAAGTTTTGAAGCAAGAGTGGGCGAAAATCCCACAATCTAAAATTGACAAGATGATTCTCACGATTCCCCAAAGGATCAACGAACTCCACGAAGCGAAAGGAAGATCTACTAGATATTAATTAAATTATAAATATATCAATTTATGTGAATAGGTCTGAAATTTTTTTCTAAAAAGGTGGTGTCTATTTACTTGTGACTACGCTGTGTACTTACCTCGAGACCTTAAACGCGCTCACTGATTGGCTGCTTCAGGGGAAGGGGTGAAGTCCATGACGTAAGAGTGACATGCACCAGAAAAGATCTCGTCATAGTTCCACGTAGTGGAACCAGAGAGTGCGTTTCTAGGGGCACGTTGTTAAGCTGCTATGGCATTTGACGAAGAAAGTTATCTGCTGCCAAAAGATGCGTTGCTAGAAGATGTTACGCGACATCATAGTTCAAATCAACAGAGAACGTGTTGCTAGGCCACAAAGTTGTACCAGAGGGTGCATTGGTATAATGGTGCACAGAAAGTTCGCGAGCGAACCACCAGATGGTGATGTAGGTTAACCTGTGTTACGTATTAGAATTTCAAATGGTCTGAAACTGACCTAAATGATACTTTAAATTTAGTAGTTAAATTATACTTTGGATATAGCAGTTAAGTAAAAGCCGATATATAGTCGGTTTATGATATTTGCCAACAAGATTGATACACAGAAATTTCTTTTTTAACACAAATACGTTTTAATATACACACAACAATACAATTTACAATAACAGTTATTACAAACAATAATTTATAAACAAAAGTTTCACAAACTTACAAGCAATATAAAGTATTCTTTCAAGTCTGGAACTTCTTCGATATCTTATCGAGGATTCACGATAAGCGAGTTAATTACAAGTTGACGTAGGTATACTTCACTTAACAGGGAGCTAGCTAGTTTTGTCCTTCATTAGTTACCAGCCACAGACGCCGAGTTTTCCACCAGTGACGTTAGGTAATGGTTTTGTAAAAATACTAATGTCCAATGACAATCCACTGTAGTTAAATGATTTGTTCGAACTTTGTAAATGCTCCTGGTCACATATCTGAAGTTTTCCGATTTATAAGCGTTATAACAATCACAGTTATACTTATAGCTTCCGAAGGCTATAGCACACTGATTATAGCAAACTAATAATATATACTCTCTTTTTTGGCGCGTCGCATTGGTTATATTTTAGGCGTGTGGAAGCGTTCTCGAATTTTCAGCTTTTCGTAACAATACAAAGTTACATTAAGCATTTACGTACATACATATATTGTTGATTCTTACACTTGAGAATCTTCTACAACTTTAGAGAATACGCGGGTGTTTCGCAATACATAATTAACACTATAAGCTATGCATATTTCTAAATATAAACTTAATCTAAACAAATGCCGATATTAAAATAAATATATAATAACAAATCCGTCACAACCTGCCATGAACTTTATAGTAACAATCCAAGCCTTAAAATTTATAATTTGATCTTACTTACATAACGTTGTATTTACAATTATCATAATTACAGTTTTACTTTATAAAACCTTAAATACGATTTACAAAATCAGACACTGTTTCTATAGGCAGAAAGTGTTACTATCGTCCCGACAGGCTGCCTACAGGATTCAACTTGTCTGAACTTATGTTTATATTTATTTGTTACTAAGGTTCTGTTACGTCTCCGTTTGTTAATTAATTTTCCGTAACTTCGTTCCGACGAAACTTTAGCGACACAAGTCCTTACTTAATAAAAATGGTTTATTCTTTCCGAATATAACTTTATGATACACTTAATTTCAACAATCACGCTAAAACAAACGCTATAACGAACGTGCTCAGCTTCAGTAATACTCTCTGACTGCAGATCAATTACTCACTGTCTACACACACATTGTCCTGTCACGTTGTCACCCTCTTATATATATACCAGGCTACCCTCTATCTAGTAATCTCCCGACAATTCACGAAGGAACAAGATAGTTCTAGAAACGTCACGTGACCTCGCTGACGCAACAATATTGTTGACCACGTGAGACGTGAGTTATAGCGTTTGTTATAGAGCGACTGTTGAAACTAAGTGTATCGTAAAGTTGTATTCGGAAAGAATAAACCAGTTTTATTTAAGAAAGGACTTGTGTCGCTCAAGTTTCGTCGGAACGAATTTACGGAAAATTAACGAAACGAACGGAGGCGTAACAATATATTATCCACGTTAGATTATATAGAACTTACCTTAACATACACAGTGACTGATATGAAAGAAAATGTCATCCGTACAAAACATTATTATATTCATAGCAATAATTTAGATATCTTCCAGTACTTCCCTTAACAACAACAAAAAAGTTAGGAAATAGGTTATATAAAATTAAGAGAAAGTGCACAGATTTAAGAAATGGCGAAACGTCAAGGACGAGAAGACAGGAGGGGGGACAACTACTGAGAGTGAGAGCCCCATTTTTCGAAAATTTGTAATTTATCATTATGGGATATTTCCTATAGCATTTTCTTCTTTATGAATGTGTTTCATTAATGTGTTGAAATTGTTTCCTTTTCTTTCTATTTCTTTTTCGGATTCTGTTAAAAAGTGTTTCACGTCTTTTGGTATGTGTTTTTATTTTTAGTTTCCCTGCTGATAATGATTATTTAGGCAGCTTTTGTACCTCGTGATTATGGAAACGATTAGTTGAAATTTAAGCAGAACTTTTGTCGTGTAACAATAACAGTTTAACGTTAGACACAAAGGATTTTTAGTATTAAAACGGATTGTTCTTATTAACTCATACCATAGTGTTAAGATCTGTTGAGATCAATGACATGAAACTAACGCTGCCATATCATAAAATTCACATTATTACGATTGTTAATAAGAGCAATACTACTAATAGTTTTAACTTGTGTATGTTAGTGTTGCGAACAGAAGAAAGAAAGATAAAAACTAGAAAGAGGCAGTAATCACATTGTAATTTGTTGTCACAGGTGAGAGTAATTATTTTTATTTCAGACACAGTAAAATTACTTAAATTATAACTTGTATAAGCATTTACGCCTGTAGTAAAGCAAATATGTAAATATGATAAAATTGTTCAGTTTGTACTTGTAGTTGTACTTTTACGTAGTTTAAGTCTAACTTTTCCAGATATTATTTACTTTTAAAATATTATTACTAATATTAGGTCGATCAGGATATTACGTGTATTATTAACGTTAGTAACTTAGTAAGGCTAATCCAACAAATTATTTTTGGTATCTAACATAAAAGTTAAAAGCTGGAATCGGTGAATTAAATTATTGATACAGTGACAGAAATGTACGCCATCAAATTCAAAAGTTAAAAGAATATTGAGTAGAACTAGAAGATCCCCTCATCTTTTTAGATTTAGTTCCACTTTATGTTTTGTTTCTCCCTTTTTTTATAACACTTGTATTGCACATAATTTTTGTATTTTTTATGCTAAAAGTTTAGTACAATGGTTTTATTTTTCATAGTGTTTAACATCTATTGTTTTTTTAACTTATTTTTATTATAAACCACTCCTTTAAAAAAAGTTTAACTAGAGTCAGTAGGAAAACAAACCATGATATGATATATATATATGTAATCATGTTATAAGTTTCTAAATGAAGTAGTTTATGTTGATACTGTAGCTTGCTTTCAAAACTTTGTTCGGAGTATTGGTGGGAAGAATTTATTTTATTTTTCTATTAAGATAAGAGGATGGAATGTTCATGAGTTTTGATTGGTTATAGCCATAATTTGAATGGCCACCAATCCATTGATTTCATGTTGTGAATTTAGCAAAACATATTTTGACCCCATGTAATTCAAAGAATTGTTATTTACAAGTTAGGCCTAGTTGTTAGCATGTCAGACTTTGGTTTCGAGGGCCTTTGAATTATGTTCTTTTGCTGTGAAACTGCACTTTGGGGCTGTGGATATGTTATAAAAATGATGTTTAAATCCCATGATTCTGTTAGAGTAACATGAAAGTTGACGGTATCTATCAGTTCAAAATTAGTGACAGCTAGCGTAAATAGTTCTTGCTTAGCTTTGTTTGAATATCTGAAACCAAACCAAATTGACCTGTTAAAATAGAAATGAAAGGCATAGATAATTGCATGTTTTTATGAACTTGTAGAAGAATTACCGGTCATTTATTTAGTGTTCAAATTTTTTCTCAGCATTGGTAGATTACCTGTTAAGAGAATCTTTTTTTTTAGTCTGGCTTAAAAAAATATTTGTTGTTGTCAAGTTTTTGCATTGTTTTATTTATGATGTTCCACTTTATTATTTATGAATAATTACATAAACAACAACACATACATTATGTGCTTGTTATAGTGTGATTGTTTGAATTCCAAATATGTTACTTTGGATCAACTTTCAATCTGTGTAACTGTGATTTTTAAAAACTTTTTTCGAGTATATTTGGTTAGATTTTTTTTTTAGGGGGAGAGGGGTCAATGATAATTGCAACATCTGTGATTTTATAAGACGTAGATTGATATAGTAATAATGAACTGAAATCCATGATACCAAGTCTTGAAAACCTACATATAACATTTCCCCTTGTCTACTCCACAATTACTACTTCAAGAACTCTTGACCGTAACTAACCTTGTGGTAAGCATCTTCACTCTCTGATACTGTTGATTCAAAGTTAAAACTCTTTCAATACGATGCTGTAACATTGAAATACCTTTCTAATGAATTTCATATTTCTAAACAGAATCTATTGAAGTCTCGTATGACTGAACTCTCTACCCAAACAAAGTGTAGACTTTTCCCAAGTTTAGTGATATTGAGGAGCATGTACTTGATTAGAGCTGGGAAAATTAGTGTATCTTGCTAATCAATTAATCATCAGGCCCATTGATTGATTACATTCAGCTAAGATGGTTAAAAAAAAACTTCTGGTGCTAAAAATCAAGTTTAAATATCCACAGTGGCCAGAGCACAGATAGCCCATTGTGTGGCTTTGTTATTTAAACAAAACAGAAAGTTAATGGCAATATTTCAATTACTTGGATGATTGGAATAATGAAAACTAGTAATAATTGGAAACCATAATTTTGATTAGTTCATTATTTTTATGAGTTGTGACACAAATTAGTTAAGCTGAAGAAACTTGACTTAATTAAAATAATAATGAGAAATCATAACAGCAATATTTCAATTACTGGATAGTTGAAATAAGCAAAAACAATAATAATTTGTAACATTAATTTTTGTTAGTTAATTATTTTCATGACATTAGCATTTTCATTTTGGTTACTGGACAGTTGGAGTAAGTGGAAATGGTAATAATTGAAAATACAAGTTGATTGTTTTTGTAATGTTAATTGATTTAATCGTAATTTGAATCAATGATTTTATATAACACTAATTGATCTAATCAGTGCTCTAGTTGATTATATAGATTGAGTTAATTGTCCAGTTCTGTTGACGACGTTACTAACATTTGGTGTGATTGTTACATTTCGTATTCTCCCAGCGCATTGTGTCAGCAATGTTAATACATGTATTTGTTGAATTTGCACTACAAAGTACTTAAATTCACTTTATAAATTTTTTATTTATGTTTGAAATACACTGTAAGACTTAACTTTACCAAATAGTATTTTTTAACATTCTATATTACTGTGAATTTTTAAATCAGAATTTGCTCTAAAGTTTGTAGTTGATACAGATCTAGAATTCTTGTATCTAATAATTTATAATATTTGTTTTGAAGATCTAAACAATGGTATCTAAAAGCATAATCTGTTATCTTGATGGACCTGCCAATGCACTGGCTATCAATAGAGATTCGACACAAGTTGTTGTGGCTGGCAGAAATGGTGAGTGTATCAGTTTATAAAAACTTGTGCTAAGTTTAAGCATGATTATTTACAGTTCCTCGGCCAGGGCTATGAAACCCGTGAGGTTCTATCCCGATTGATAGGTATTCTAGGCTTTTATCACCTAGAGAACATGGTAGTTAGATGCTGTACGCCAGCAAGCCAAGTTTGCTCAGTAAATCCAGCAGTTTGCTGTAAAAAAAAATAATAAAAGAATCAACTTTTTCTGATTTTTGTGTGTGGTTATTTCATGGTCAAAAATGAATGAGGAATTATAGTATTGTTTAAAATTGAGAATGAACAGATATTCACAGAAATATACCAAATTGAAGTAATGTGTTTGAAATATTGTTGATGTTAATACTTGGTAAGTATACCAAATTGAAGTAATGCGTTTGAAATATGTTAATACTTGGCAAGTATACCAAATTGAAGTAATGCGTTTGAAATATGTTAATACTTGGCAAGTATACCAAATTGAAGTAATGCGTTTGAAATATGTTAATACTTGGCAAGTATACCAAATTGAAGTAATGCGTTTGAAATATGTTAATACTTGGCAAGTATACCAAATTGAAGTAATGCGTTTGAAATATGTTAATACTTGGCAAGTATACCAAATTGAAGTAATGCGTTTGAAATATGTTAATACTTGGTAAGGTTACTAATAGGTAGGAGATCTTGGGTGGTGTAATATAACTTGTTTGTTATGTCATCCATTAATTAGTCCTTCAATTCCTAGTCATTAATTAATCATCATATTAGTAAAATTAGAATGTAGCTATTTGATTAACAATGGAATTTAGGCCAGTATCTAGAGGTTCCTGGAACCACGTTTTGACATTTGTTTGTGTGTTAGTCCTGCCTTTGTTTTAAGTTATTGTACAAAATGCTTCACAGTGTGTTTTATTTTATGCATCTATCACATTCCTTTTGTAACTAGTAACCTTTAACCATTCTATTTCACTATTAGAACTGTGGAAATTGGACAAATCAAGATGGTGACATGTCCCGTTAACAGTGAATAATAACCAGAGTTTCCTTTACCTCATTGTTTGTGAGTTGCAACATTAGGATAACTCTATCACAACTTCTAAACACCTTTCTCAGTGGTGTTTCACTATTTTCTCAAAGTCTTAGTAACTCAAATTTTATTCAGTTGTCGTAACCTTTCTCTTAGTTAAGTTTTCTGACAACTCTGTTTTCAGATGTTTAACAATGCAATCATATAAGTGAAATGGGTAAATTCTTCATGTATACACAGATTTTCATTTTCTGTTAGTATGTTTCTTTTTACAAATTTTCTTTCAGTCCAGGTCAGTGTTAGACTTGCAGAGGATAGAGAATTATTGATCAAAAAAACCCTCCACATCAAGCAGCACTCTCCAACTCTGAACAACATGCAGTCTTCATTTAAATTATACATTTTTTAATATGTTCGTATTACTGATTTTTCGTGTTTTTTTTTTCTTTTCGTTGTGTTTTCTTGCTATAGTTTCTCCCAATGATTACTGTTTAGTGTTTTATTTTTTTTAATTATCATTATATTTAGCAACTGTACTTTGAAAATGTATAAAGACTGATGTAAATTAATTTATTCTGCTTTAGATACTGAAGATGGAATCTGATAGAATCCCGAAACGTTTATCCATGTCCCCTTTTTGTCAATAAACAATGTTGTTTATCATAAGTGTCGTAATCTTGTTTATAATCAAACTTCGTTTTCCTTCGAACACATCGATTGCTAATGGTATTTAATGTTTTTTATTACTCCATAGAGTTTGAACATTGTAAAATGTTTTCGAACTAAAGCTTAGCTCGCATATGTACTTCATATAAAGTGGTTTCCAACACAAACACAGCATGTTGATCATAAAGCAGTTTAGTTTAACAACTACTTGTCGGTTTCTCCAAAACTGTTGGAGAACTAAAAGGTAAGTTGATTGAAAGACGTGTTTAGAGAACTGTTAGAAGTTATGGATAGTGAACGTGTTCTCGGACTGTTATCGACACACGTTTACCTGGGGAAGGTAGGGATGCAAGTTTATTGAAACCTAGTTTAAGAACATGCTCACCAGGTAGGTCTCCTTTATCAGTAACTGAAAGATAAGTTGTTTGTCAAAACCTAAACCACACTTAACAATTTTTCTACTGTTACAATTTAACCCCTTTTTTTACCTTATTGAAAATTCTCACCAGTGAGTCTTGGACCTTGTTCAATTGCGAAGAAAATATTTCTCCAAGGTTGACAGAAAGCCATCAAAGCTGCTAGATAAATCATTGGATAAAAGAAAAATAATAATTAAAATGTAACATTAATAATGTAAGATACAGTTACGTCTATCCTATGTTAGGAATCCATAGAATTCCCATGATGGTGCAAACATTAGGGGTGGGAAATGCATTTCTAATATCAGCTGACAATTTAAACTAAGAAGGACTTGCACGTGTATATTTACCGTGTAAGACATAAAGTAGGTTTCAAAGCGTGTTCACATTAATTGGGACTTAATATAGAGGGCATGCTTTTAATTAAAAACAAAAATACTTGTTATAAGGTGTTAAGACCTACAGTACTAAATGTTAAAAAGGTTAATTCTTGTGTAATGGAAGCAAGTGGGTAATGGTTATTCTATGTTTTTGTAGTGCGTGTACTTAGAATGATGATTAAAAATATCCTTTTTTTATTATTCTTTCAGTGCTGAGGTTGTTGTTTTCTAACACTGAATGATTATTCTGATATATGACATCTTTTTTTTCTTCTTTACTTTATAGTTTTTAAGATTTTTAATATTGAAGAAGAAGAATTTGTGGAGCGACTTAATTTGAGAGTTGGCAAGAACTTAAACCTAAACTTCAGCTGCGCTGATGTTGTTTGGAACCCTGTTGAAGGTTGGAAAAAAAAAATTCTTTTTAATGTTAAATCAAATTTCATGATCCAGGTTTAAGGTAATTTTGGGCTTTAACCAGCTACATTTGTGGCTTATAATGATTTTTTTAAATATTTCTGTGAATGACTCTTCAAAATTAGGTTTCTTTTTATCAACATTAAGCACATTTAAAAATTGTCTGAGTTTTTAGAACTATTTATTCATGAATTCATTTCTTTGGAGTATGACTGTGTGAACTCTTACATAAGTTTTTCATTTTGTGTTTTTAATGGTGAGCTTTGTCGTCATCTGATAATTCTCCAACTCCGATTCATGGATTGTGTATCTTCTGAGGAAGAGTTAGAAGCAGGTTCTGGTATCTTTGTCTTTTTTAACAAACTTCTAAACAAGTCTGCTTTTGTCAAGATGGTATTTTTATAACTGGTCTCTTTCTTTTTATTACATTCTTTATCTTCCTTCCTTGTCTTTTGTGTCAATAATTTTTCTCATTTCAAACCATTAATTAGGAATTGTGTCACTCCATTTTCTTCTTCCTACCTCATTTAGGATTTGTTTCAAATATATTTCTTCATTTATAGGGCTCAAATAATTACCTGATACATGCATGTAAGTTCTATGTGGATGGTTCCAGTAAAGCAGTTTTTCACGTATATAATACCTTAAGAATATAAAGAAATGTTTTTTAGTGTATTCAAAAAAACATGTGTTTTTAAAGGGTTTCTGGTTATGTTTTTCTATTGTTTTGTATTCTGATTTCAGCTTGTTGTGTATATTCACAAGTTAAAATTATGCATGTCTTTTATGTGCACAAGATTCGTTTTGAGAAATGAGAAATTTGTGAAAACTTTTAACTTCTACTGTTCACAGCTTCTTGTCCGATGCTCTTCTGTCTCGGCTGTGGTAATTATAATCTCATTGCAGGTTTTCTATCTTTTCTTTCTTCTGCTGTCATCCCAAATGACTGATTATGAAATTTAACATAGGAGCTCTATGCAACAAGGATAGTTGGTTTGTACGTAGATTACCCTCAGAACCTGAAATGGAATGTTTAATAATTATATTAACTAAATTTCTGACTGTTAGCATGCTTAGTTAATATTCCATGTCTTTTTTTCTGTTTTGGTAAACTTATGTAAAGTTATGTTACTTGTTTTGGTGTGATTTCAAACAATGTTTTTCATCAGCTGACAAGCGGAAGTCACAGTCCTAGTAACTGTCGTGGTATCTTTTTGCAGCATTTGTCAAAGCCAGTTAACAGACATATCTACTAATTTACAAAACCTCATGTTTCTCCAGACTTTTTGTAGGTCATAGTTCCTTTGTACTTTTATGTGAATTTTGAATCTCGGCTCCCGAGTACAATAACTTTTCTTACACTTTTATACATTTAGACAATATCCTGGCAACTGCAGCAACCAATGGAGCTGTGGTGACATGGAACATCAATAAAACATCCAGATCTAAACAGGGTAAGGTTTAAAACACTGTTTAAAGTCAAAGTCAGTTTAAAATTCATATCCTTTTGCATATTAACATAAAGCTCAAAACTATCTAGCAGAAACTATTAACTGAATATGTATATTTTAAAAGAATTTATGCGAGTTAAAAATTGTAGCATCTTTTTTATGTGCATTTTTGTGTATTGTTATTATTTTAATTTTTACCCTTATTACAAATAAAGGTTTATGTGGTTAAGTGTATCATTTGTTTAAATATTACGCTTATCCGTCTTGTCTCCTAGTTCTTAAGGGTATACACATGGACGTTTTTACATTGTCACCTAGCAACGAATGGGGTTTAGCTGTTTCATTTCAACAGGGGCCAAAGGTTGTTTCAATCAAAATTATAATTGACCATATTCTTAATAGTGTCCAATATAAAATGCATGATATATTTAATATAAAGAAGAATCCCAGTTCTGACCAATCACAAAATTAGAAGGAAAGGTGCGGGTTCAGTTTGCTGTCATTCATTGTTCGGCTGGAAGTAAAGGTAGGGAAAGACCAGTATAGTTTGTATGAATTTATAAGTCTAAACTGAAATATTACATGTATATAAAAATTGGAGGCATGTGATTTTGAAAGAGGCTTACATGACACACACACACACACACACACACACACACACACACACACACACACACACACACACTA